CTTAAATAGATAATATAGAAAATTACACAAGTGATTAATTGTACACTTTTTTTGTAGTAGTTTTTTACAAAACTCATTTCTATAAATATGTTAATAAAATTAAAACATTCAAAAAGTCACCTTAATATTAAATAATAATAATAATAATAAAAAATAAAAATAAAAAAGTTTTTTAAAATTAATATAAATAAACTATATTTTGAATCGTATTAGTTATAATAAATAAATATTATTTTACTAAGCTTGTATTACAATATTTATTTATTTTTTAAACTATATAGCAAGCAAATTTGATTGCTAAAATTTTTTAATTAATTTTTGTACAATTGCTCTAAATTTTATTAAGATACATTTAATATTCTCTAAACTAAAATAAAAGAATACTATATGCTAAATGTTATGTAATTATTATTTAAAAAAATTTTTTAACATTACTTTTAAAACCAACTAAATATAATTAATAATATTATAGTTTTTATAATTAAATTTAAGAGTAAAAAAATACTTTGATGTGACAAACATGAAATATCTTTATAATTACCTGCAAACGTATCTTTTATATTATGATATTAAAGTTGGTTAAAGATTCTTTACAACCAACTTTACAAAACTGATTTTGGAGCAATGTAAGAAAACTAATATAACTCAAAAGTTCATGCTTATTTTAATTATTAAAATTTTTATATTTACTTATTATTTTATTATGATTTGTTTAGTTACAAGAATTGGGTAGTGAAAAGAAAAATAATACTACTTTAATAGTAAAAAAGGTTCTTAAAGAATTATTTTTTAAAAAAAGTATAACTGAAACCCAAAGAGTTTATAAATATAATGCTAGCAAAAAGATTATAATCCTGTTAAAAATGGTGTAAAATTATATAGATGGATTAGTAATCAAAATATTTAAGCAAAAAATATATAAAATAGTTTTAAACCAAAAAATAATACTTAGCTTATTAGAAAAAAAATATTTAATTTAAAGTATGTGCTAGTTGCTAATGACTTAAGTAATATAATAAATTCCAATATTATAAGTTTACCTTACCAAAAAAAAGGCTTATTATTATTTAATAAAGATTATTAATATTTACATTTATTTCGGTTTAGGTCGCAAATAAACTAGTCTCAGCTCTCATTCTTGCATGTAATTTTTATTTTCTTACAAACAACCTTAGTTATTTCAGTACTCTTGTACTAAAATATACAGTTAAAATTATTAATAAAGATATGAGCAAGGCTTCACCTTAACACCAAAAAAATTATATTTACGTTTATTATTAACTACTGCATGTGACATGTAAACACCAAAGCTGTTGGGAGTGCAAAAAAACGATTAGACGGATTACTACAAAACAGTTGGTGAAAAACCTCCATTAATTAATGATTTTCCAATATTATTATCTCAATCCACTTACAGTTTACTAATTTCAACTTTGTCGTAAGTGTAAGTTAATATGTTATATCCAGGCATTATTCAAATAAATAAATAATTATCAAGTTTTAAATGCTATTCTCGGTAATATTAAACCTTACTTACTATAGTATTTCCTTATTAAACTAATATTCAAAGCAATGTAAATGATAATAATTTGAGTGGTTCCTAAACTAATATACGGGTTGGTTAGCAGAACACTCTGTTAACTCCATTTTAATGGTAACATTCTTGAGTTATCACTTTTAAAATAGAGTCATTCATTAATAGCCTAATTAGTAGTATTAGGTATATAATTATGTATAGCGATTAATGAAACAAAGTTAAATTCACGTGATATCGCTACAATCCGGGATGTAGAGTTTTTTTTTTAAGGAATGGTATGACCCTTACGTACAAGAACGGTATTCCCAATCTATCATGAATGGTATTTTTACTTAACAAGCGAATTAAATAATTTATACTATATAAAGTGTTAAGCCCGTTGTTAAATGACAGAATATACAGCATAACAAATAAAAGTATTTGACCCATTATTTCAATGATGAATCTAAATTTTATACGTACTTACGTAGAAATGCTTAACGTTTAAGGGTCAATTCAATATGCATTAATGTTACACGGTTTTACAACGGCTGTCAAACGTGCATAACGGAAATATATGATTCTATAAAAATATATATACAATATAACTATTTAAATCAAATTTATTAGCCATTATATCATTTTTTTTAAATTGGAATATTCTAATCAATTAAAAACTAATCAGATTTAGAAAAGTTTGCCAAACAAAAAAAAATATATATATATATAATATGTAATATAATTGACATACGTATAAATAATAATTTTTCCGACAACCAACAAATTTATGGTTAGTCTGATTTTAAAGTCATCGAAAGATAATCAAAGGTGAAACGGAAAGAATCCGTAAACAAGATGTTTTCAAGTTATTTTGATATTTGTTTGACAATTTTTTTGGGGAGGGGGGATTTGTTCGGTAATTATAATTACATATTGATCAAATGTCAATTGCATATATAAATGTTATATGTATTATATTATCTTTCTATATGCCTCTTTATACCTGTTAGTAAAATCGTATGATGCTAAATTTATTATGTGAAAACATCTTGTAACATGTGAATTCATATGCTATAAGCTATAATTCTAACATTACCATCACGCAATTTTGTCAGCAAGGTATACCTCAAGGAAAAAAAAACATACGATTCTGATAAATCAATAAAAATTAAAAGTTTCAAAATAAGTACGTACGTACAGGATTCCAAAGTATTTTTTATTAATAGAAATCAGTGACCAATAGGAAATGCAGGAAAGTGGTACGTAATGCTGCTAATTATCATTATCATACGAGACATTAAAGTTACACTATAATAACGTGCCAGATGGGTTTGTTATTTTTACCATAAACCAGGGTACTGTATTTACCTTTCTAAAATAGGTATTAAACATTATACTCTATATGATAACTAAATTTAGGGAATATGTTAAAGAATAATGATTAAATTGATTATTAATCGATATACGTAGTAAATTTTAAAAATCAGATGATCCATATAAAATACTACATATTCCCATATTCATAGTGTTTTGTATACTAATCTTGTGGTTTTAAACATGATTGACGAATTAAAAATACATTTACTAAGATCATAAAAAGAAAACAATGACAAATTGATCAAACCAAGTTTTATCTTATATTATCTTATATTATCCTATATTATCCTATATTATCATATATTATCATATATTATCCTGTATGATGAACGGAATAAGTGATAATTAGTCATTATTAGTTAAGTGATAATTATAAGAAAGGAAAGTCGGAAAAGACGAAATAGTGACCATATTAAGATTGGTAAAAAATAGATATATGACGTGGGTCACATTGTCAAGTACCATATTTATAATTCTATGTCTAAGCTGGAATTGGAAATAAAAAAATAAATTCGAACTTTCTTTGATCAGATGATGACACGCCTCTTTTTGACTCAGAGATAACTCAGCGTTAACTCAGTTAACTCAGCGTTCAATAATGAGTAAAAAGATAAAGTGAACAATCCAAATTCAAAATAAATATAACTTTGCAGTGCACAAATGGACATTTAAGTAAAAAAGACAAAAAAACATGTATACATAAATTATATCAAATTAAATTATTGTGGAGATTCTTACGCAATCAATGATATTCTTGTAATAGGGTTGTATGCTGTTTTACAATAATGTCAAAAAAAAACACATCAACCTGTCTCTTGTCTAATAGAGTTATATGCACTTTTATAAATATAATATACAACCGAAAATTAAAGCTCGGTAACAGGTTTAACTTCTTTTGTCAAATCAAATTATAAAAGAGTAATACAAAATCGTCATTATACATGACAAATAAATAATTTCAAGTTCGATTTGTTTGACGTACAAGAGTGAATGATTAAATAAAAAAATTCACCAACCGTGTTTCTTGAAAAACGCCAATTCAATAAGATCGTTAAGTCTTGTGACTAATTATAGTAAAATCTACATACATGAATACATGACATGATGATATATAATTGATATATATGATCGATATATAATTGATATATATTCTTGATATATAATTGATAAATATGATTGATATATGATCGATATATATGATTGATATATAATTGATATGTAATTATATATGATTGATATATGATTGATGTATGGTTGCGTCAATATAAATTTTCTTAAAGTCGAACATTAATCAAGCCTCGTTTATTGAGCCAATTATTGTGAATTACTGTGAATTACTGTGAATTACTGTGAATTACTGTGAATTTCTGCGAATTTCTGCAAATTTGATCATTACCTAAATCTTTTCTTATTAATCTTTAAAAAAATTGGCGCTAGAATAGTCTGCAATGCATAAATAAATTGCCATTTTTCTTTTTTTTACAAATATATTGAACGATCTATGACATATCTATGGCATTAGTGGCTTTTCAGATCGACCATTCACGTTCGCATTTATAAGATATCAAACATTTACCTACATTTATTTCAATGAATGTAAACAATTCACCAATAACGTATTCGTCGATGCGCGATGCAAAATGACGATGCGAAATGGCGATGAGGAGGTATTGATATACCACTCACAGATTATAATAAGCATGTTTTTAGTAACAAATACGTATGTCAATATAGTTTGACATCTATCAAAATGAAAGAAAAGTCTTGCGAATCAAGTCAGACAAATGACATGATAAATACGTAAATGTTATAAACAAATAAACCCTAAGTTTTAAATTGAATAAATATGAAAAAAGTAACAAAAAAAAAGAAGAGGACAATATCAATCAAAGATTATTGTTATGTATCCAATAATCGAGATTGCGTAACATTTACTCGGTAGTAAGTAGTCACGGAAATCGGGAAACCCCTAAGTTTTTTGTTTTTTCGGCGTATTTGATGTAAAACAACTCGGCGTTCGTCCGTGATTCTTTTATTTGTTCCCCACAATAAATGCATACCACACATACATGACATACAATGTGTAACAAAACATAATAACATGGCATTATAATGCCCGAATAGCATGGTAATAACTAGAATCAAAGTTATTAGTTTCATTATTTTCCCTCGGATCCGATACAAAATGCTATAATTAAAATAGGATTAGTTTTTATGATAATTTGGTTGTAACCCGGGTTAAAAAAAATAGGATTTCCCAAATTAATCATTGAAATAATTGAAATAATTGAAATAACAATAATTATGACATAAACGAATTAGGTAGAATGTAGCATGATTAATTAATTAAACGTCAAATTTATCTAATTGGTTTTATTAACAAATTAAAGATACGTATGAAAATCGTATTATTCTAACAATTAGATTAAAACCAGAAATAAGCTGTTAATAAAAACTTTGTATTTTGTTTACATTAATATATAGTTAAGTAACGAAGATGTATATGTGGATGTCGTACTAACCTCACATGACATTATTTGTTCTTCAAACATTTAAATTATTGGCGAAAAAAAAGATGCATACATTATTTGATTATTATTTGATATTACTATTGATATTACTATTATTATTTGATATTACTATTGATATTCTATTGATATTCTATTGATATTCTATTGGTATAACTATTGATATTACTATTTGATATATATTGATATGTATTACTATTTACATTTATTAATATTGATAAACAAACAAAAATTTTCTCTCACGTGGAATACTGTTGGAATATTATGAAATCTTTTGCTTGGGCGTTAGTCATTTACATCACTTACATCATTTCTATCATTTCTATCAGTTGTTGGGGATAGTGTACGCCATTTTACCGGTAATAAACAATATTTTTTTTTTTTAAAAAAAAAAAAAACCGAATCTAACAAAAATCATTGTATTACTCAAAGGGTCTTTTCCTTACTGAATATGTATTTTCAAGCCACTTAATGATCTAACTAAAGATTAGTTATTTATAACAGGATGAGCAATATTTGATTATCAAAAACGAATAAGATAGGCAGATGTCAAATTGATGTCAATCCTACACATTCTTAAAAAAGTAATTACATACAAATTTGATTTACCTAATACAGACCGGATATTTTAAATTTTTTTTTCTTTTAAATTTCCAATTGAAAAAAAAGGCTTTATTCCAGATGGCGCTTACTTAAGCGACTTTTTTTTTGTCATCAAATGCTATCAATGTATCAAATGTATCAATGCTAAAAGAACAATGGACGAGAGGCCACATGACATAAAAAATAATCGTACCTGCTTTTCTTTTCCAAATTTTGATGCTGATATCTTTCGATACATTCATAAACCCTAAAGATAGCGGCATGCATCACTTATGATTTATAGTAAATCGGAAATAGTATATAATAAATGGTATATGTATATATGAATATAGGATATATAGTAAGTGGATATAATAAATGGTATACATATAACAGTAATATGATGACATAACCAAACGCAATGCAAGAAAAAAAAAAAAGCCCTGGCTTAAGAGCTTGCTTGATCTACTGACATGCCCAACATATGACCAAAAAAAGATTCAAGTATACAGAAACGCAGAAAGAGGGATCAAACGTCAATATATTCACGGGATGCAGGATTTTCACGTCATTCCGAAACTCGACCAATAAAGAATACGTATTTATTCCATAAAAGGAATAAATGGTAAAGCTTATTGGAGATTTGTAGATTTGTACTTGATATGTTCAACGCCAAAAGTTATCAAGTTACCATTGTAAATTAATTTATAATGAGAAAGAAAGAAAAAAAAAGTAACAAAGAAATTAAGGGGAGTAAGTATGAAAGTATGAATGTATGAAAGTAGGAATGTATGAATGAATGCGTAGGAGTGTATGAACGTGTAGGAGTGTATAAATGTAGTGATAATTATGAAATTACGTACGTACGTCCGTCCGTACATAAAGAAAGGGTACAATTTTTTTTTTACATAAGTATATAATTTTTATGGAATGAATGCTAAAGTATATTTCTCAATAAAGTACTTATGAAATACTTATAAAGTACATGTAAAAGTGATTGGAGATTTAGTAATAAAGTGATACCTACATTCTGAATTGAGGTAACGCTAATCTTGATGAGTAAATTTCCAATAATCAGCATATGAATGAACTATAATAAGTAATGAGAGTCATTGAATGAAACTAAAATAGGAGATTTTGATAGAACAAACAAATTGGTTTTTATGCAAGTAATAAAACTAAAAATAGTATAGATAGTACGCCCAAGAGTCGTATTAATGAGCTCATAGTGATCTAATAGTTATCATTATAGATTAGTTTAATAACATTCTCACACGCCTACAGACACGATATGTATGCGTGTTCTGAGTTATTCTGAGTTATGTTGGTCATTGCGAATCATGCATGTGAAAGCGCATTGGCTGAAACCATAATAAACAATTGACCTCAGTAAAGAAAGGGTTCACTCGTTCAAATTGTTTGAATATTAAGATTTTTATTCATGAATTTATTTTATTTACATGTTTAAAAATTGTTTGGTTGTTATGTGCTTTGAGACAAAGTGGAGTGCATCTAAGCAGATAATAAAATATTGCAGTTACGCGTACATACGTATGTACGTACTAAGGGATTGAATCAAATGTGTTTAATGTGTATTAACTGTTATTTTTATTCACTTTATCATATCTGTATTATATCTGTATTATATCTGTATTATATCTGTATTATATCTGTATCATATCTGTATCATATCTGTTTATTGGAAGCTACTATGAACTTCTTATTTGTACGTATGTACTAATTTCATTAATGTTCAACAATGGGATTTCTTTATTTAAATTTAAATGATGTTCACTGAGTTACGTTTGTTAGTTATGATAGTTGAATGATAATTATTTATTCGATTTATGTTATTTATTTCATTTATGTTATTTATTTCATTTATGTCAATTCTATTTATGTTATTTATTTATTTATTATACATATCAGATATATATATATATATTTATTCATTTATTGATACGTACGTACGTAACGATATAACGTTTTTTTTCAATTTAAATTAGTGTTAACACTTACTATCGCTATAATTTACTAAAATACTAGAATCTATTTAAAGTAAACCGGTCAACATTGACCCAAATACTCGGACTATTTTAAATAAATCATGAATAGATTTTTTTTTTTTTGTGCAACTAATCTAACTAATATTTATCATTTATCCCCAAAAAATATTCATATTCATTCTTCAAGCAGTTAAGGTATCAAGTACAAGCGCTTTATTAACATACCTAAATATGGAATGCTTACCTCAGCCATTGTTTTCATTCCATCAACTATAATATGATTGGTGTAAGATGATTGGTGATGTGAATAGACTAACTAAAAAAAAAAATCTTTTAATCATATCATAGAATATCAATAAGTAGTTTATTTAACCCGTTTTACTAAAGTTAAAAAAAAAAATTTTCAAGGGGTGAATCTACACATATGCGTAATCGTATCGTTTATTCATTCGCACTTGATTGATTTATTTGATGATTTTATTTGGTAGTACATGTAATAGGGTAATAAAAAGACAATGTTTGATATAAGCCAAGTAAGGGTTGAATAAATGATAGAGCTATTGTTCGGTGTGAAATTACATGCGTCTTGTGACGCCTCTCCCATATTTAGAAATATCGAATCATAATTTAGTTTCGATTTAAAGTAAATTATGTATAATCCGATGCTATTACAATCCGATGTTATAGGTTAATTCTAGAATCCTACATAAATAAGTAATTCGTTCATCAATTACGTATACTAATTATACTATATAATTATACTAATTATATTAATTATATTAATTATATTAATTATACTAATTAGTGTAATCTTTCATTGTTAACCGTCATACCGAAATTTCCTAAAATTTTTATTTTCTTACTATCTACACATACTATCGGTAATTTCTTGAGTGACAATTACAAAAGGAATTTATTTCCGTATACTAATTTAATTTCTACTTAATTGTTCCTCCCAATCACTTTTATTCCAATTTAGGTCAGTAGATAGATACTCAGGGAATATGCAATGTTAGTTCTTACAATTTTATACACAATTTTATACGTACACAATTATATACAAAGTTTTATACCCAATTTTATACACAATTATACTTACGTATACACAATTTATACCCAATTTTATACCTAATTTTATACCCAATTTTATACATAATTTTATACATAATTTTATACATAATTTTACACATAATTTTACACATAATTTTACACATAATTTTACACAATCTTACACAATTGTTTTTTTTATTAAAATTGCAGAGTACGGAATATAATGCGAGATATTACGTGAAACTATTGTTATAAAGAACAAGAGAGTAACAAATGAATGCACTTGGAAAAATCCCCAATTTAAGAAAATATAAAGACCTTTAAAATTTCTCTTTTAAGAAAAACATCGCCGAAACGTGGCATGAACGTGTACGCACATACGTAATGTACGTCAATGCTACCTGACACCTATTGCATGTACGACGTACGTGCGTTCACGAAACTGAGAGATGATGTATCAAGGAGAAGAAATAAATAAATGAGATAAATAAATGAAATAAATAACAACAATAACAATAATACAAGGAATGGATCTTCAATATGCTTGCCACATGTCGATATTATGGTGATCGAAAAGATGTTTCTTTTTCCTTTTAGTTTGATTTACTTTCGTATTTGATTCTTGTCGCAATAATTGCATCATGCAAAATAGTTTTAACAAATAAAGAAAAAACTCATTAAGACAAAAGAATTTATTTGTGTGTTCATTAATCATGTTTGACAAAGGTGAAACAAAATTTTACATTGTTCAAATTGCTTTATTATACTCTTCCTCCGGAATTCAACAAATATATCTAAAATCAATGGTCAACTTTTCGTGTACTTGTTTATGTAGTTCATTTTATATATGTATGCATTGGTTCTCAATATTAATTTATCATTTATCTACCAATAATTAATTTACCAATATTTAATTTACCAATATTTAATTTACCAATATTTAATTTATCAATATTTAATTTATTAAGGTTTGCTTTATTTTGCCTTCTATAAATGCTATCAGTTGAATGGTACGTAATACATATGTGTTAATGAAAGATCATTTAGTTTGTTTGTTCAATTTTCTCGGAGTAATTCCAGAGTCAATAAAATATCTATTAATTATTTTAATTATTTTATTTTACTTATTTTGGTTATTTTAATTATTGGTTGTTTACTCTAGACAACGTGTTTAATTCTCGGAATAATTTTATCAGGTGATTATAAAAATCATAAGAGTACTTAGTGTTGGTAATAATATTACCATGAGTTGTCGGAAATTTCATTTCTGTCAACCTTTTACAATTATGTGTACAATATAGTATTAAACTAAATTCTTATCTTATACGCGCATATATACTATATTTATCCTTGTTCAAAGATTTTCAAAAGTTTTTTGGGGGCATTCTAAATCTAACAAACAACGTATCTACTTTCTGTCACAACTCATGCTAGCCATATCAAAGTTTGTCAAAATGAATCACCTGTCAAAATCTCGATAACCAATATCAAACATCAAATATTATTAGATCCATTTTAATATGTCAAAATTCGCACTAACCATATCAAATTTTGTCAAAAACTTTTTTTTTTTAATGTCTTTAAAACACTAATTCAATAGCATGATTGTCCTGTCAAAATCTCGCGTTAACAATATCACTGCATGTTTACATCATACGATCGAGGATATGCTAAATATTTACACTATATGATTCACTATATATTATTCATTATTCATTATATGATTTGTCAAGAAAGTAAGCATGTCGGATGTCGACCATACGTACGAATAGTAATGTGCGTATGAATTATGCAATGAAAAACATGGTTTAAAAAGTGGAACTATGAAAGTCGGATGAATTACTTAATTTGTCAAATTGGCTGACCTGTCAGAAATTCAGGAAAGCTTTTAGGTTGATTTTTTTTGTCGATTCATTTGATTACATATTTAGTCATTGTTTATCGGGTGACATTGACTTTTATCTTTTTCTCATTGGATTACTTTTGACAGGTAACACGCTTGAACTTGTAGATCAAATAACTTTACAAAAAAAATTTATTATGTAAAAAAAAAAAAGATCATTAAACGTAATGGATTGACGAGCTATCAAAAATATATTATCATGTGGTTATATGTTTATTATATAATTTTTATGACGATAACTTGTCAAAAAAACGTTTCATCCCTTTTACATATCATTCCAAAATAATTCGTATTAAAAGA